CTTTACCTGTGGTAATGGTGAAAGAGTAATTTCTATTTTGTTTTTCTCAGTCTTTTTCTTGTAACAGAGTGATTAGGCTGTATACCTGTGACTAGTTAAACAGTTAGCTGATCCTTATTTTTGTTGTAACTGTGAAGATGATTTCTGTGGGTTATAAAATAGATGCGTTATGTTGTAAAAATAGATTATTTGTTTCTTCCTCATAAGATTTGATAAATTGATTTAATTACATTCATTGATTTAGTTCCTTGTTGGGACTTGAATGTGGGGAGACTGACACTGTGGAATCCTTGCTGAAAATCCTTAGGGCCCCGGGGACTGAAGCCGCAGCAGCGGCGGGTTCCCGCGCTTCTGAGGCTTTGCCAGAGCAGACCACAGCAGACCACAGGCACCGGGAGCAAAGCCGCAGTAGCGGCGGGTTCCCGCGTTTCTGAGGCTTTGCTCTGGCAAATCCGCTACCTCAACCTCCCGGGACGAGACAGCCCCGTTCGTAAGTGCGGATCCGACATAAGTCGGATCCGCGTAAGTCGGGGACTGCCTGTACTTGTAAAGCTACAGCAAATTTGACAGTTTCTTAGCCACCAGTCTTTCCAGTTTTTTAAGATTACCTATATATAAAGGAGCATCTTCTTCTTTAGCAAAATCATCAAGGTAAGAAATTCCTAGGGGTGATATTGGTGATTCCCCAATTCCACGTAACATGTTGCCCAGTAAGACATATATCCACATAGGTGATGATGCTTCCTTTACACAATCTGTAAATAACAGTAATTGCCATCTTTATAGTAGAACAATAAACCAGGAATCTGGCTAGAACTCTTTAACACACCCTCATCTTGCTCAACTTTTTTTTCATACAAAAAACTAAGATTCTGTCTAGGTTTCCAAACTCATTCAATCCAATAATCATCACCCCTCTCTTTAGCAACACTTTTTGCTCGTCTACCAAGATAGTAATGTCAGGATAATGATCTGTATTGTTAGAGAAGACTATCTAGGAAAAATAAACAATAGATTGAAATTGTGAGACGCATACTCTCTGGGCATTTCATTTACATCATCAGCTATTCAGGCTATCAGTTGGCTCACAAGTACCACAGTGGCATTTTTCTCCTCTGGTGCAGCATACACCTGTAGATTCTCTATAGCTATATTCTAAATGGCTAGTGAGGTGTGTGAAGATCACAGAAGTGCCTGTACATTTCCAGGTAACTAACACAGATTAGGCCCTTACATTTTCTTTAAATACTTTTTCTCATATTATTTTTGAGAATTGGTTCCCAAAGAGGCCCTGTAAATTTCACTCAGAACAAGCGAACTTACCAATCCAGAAGTATTTGGACTATTGGGGCCCAGATATAAGAACCCCACAGTGACATTAAATACTTTTTCTCATATTATTTTTGAGAATTGGTTCCCAAAGAGGCCCTGTAAATTTCACTCAGAACAAGCGAACTTACCAATCCAGAAGTATTTGGACTATTGGGGCCCAGATATAAGAACCCCACAGTGACATTAAATACTTTTTCTCATATTATTTTTGAGAATTGGTTCCCAATGTCACTGTGGGGTACTTGTATCTGGGATGGGAAAAATGGGCCCCAATAGTCCAAATACTTCTGGATTGGTAAATTCGCTTGTTCCGAGTGAAATTTCCGGGGCCTCTGAATCATTGAAATGTCCTTAATACTCTCCATAAAAGCTAAATGGAGGTTAGGATTTTGCTGTTCTTCACATAGAGTTGAATTGCACTTTTCGGTGAAGGTTTATAATAGCACAAAATTGTCTTATTTAGATGTATTTACAGTTACAATTCCTTACCTGAATTTGGATGTTTCAGCAAGGTTCCACTGACACCAGTTATATTTTGATCCATGGAGCAGGGAGAGAGACTGGAAGTTGAGTTGACTGAAAACACTGCATGTGATGCTGCTTCATGCTTATAACTGAACATATACAACACTATATTTAGTGGCAATGTTTCTGGACAGTTGGAGAAATACAGGGGTATATTTATCTCAGTACAGAGAGAATTTTGTGACTGCTGTTTTGGGGAATAGAAAATAAGTGCACCACATTCAAGTTACTTTCCCCCAAAGTATTAACAGTAAAACGGAGGGTCATTTCAGTTAAAAAAAAAAAAAGTGGGGGGGAGGAGGGTAGTTTAAAACAGTGAGCAAGAAAATATCAAAAGCAACAATATGTTAGGTATAACATTTTAAATGGCTAACTTAAAAGAAACCTAAGAAATGTGGACATTTAACTCACATATGTCTCCACCGAATTCCTCTTTCGAGAAAGGAATGCAAATGCAGCCAAGCAAAATTGCAAATGAAGTGCAAATTTACAAATCTCATGCTTCATTTGCATAATGGCATCCGGGCGCTTGTTCGAAATACCCTATTTTGAAAGAAAAAACGCAGTCTAGACAGGGTTAATTTGAAAAAAAAAGCCCACCTTCTTTTGAAATAACCCTTAAACCTCATTTTTTAAGGAGTACAGGATCTTTCGAAAAAGGCTTTTCTTTTCAAAAGAACCACGTCTAGACCACGTTTCACTTTCAAAATAGCGTTTTTCAAAAGAACACCATGACACGATTATGCAAATGAATCGTGGGAAATTCAAATCCTGGCTTCATTTGCAATTTTGATATGTCTAATTAACATCCCTCTTTCGAAAGAGGGATGTAGTTTAGACGTACCCTCAGGTCTCTTTGAAAATCCCACTCTTAGGTCTATATGGAGATAAGCTGCAATGTAAATATATAGTCCTTTAGCCTACCATACACTAACTGGCAATATACATACACTAGCAGGCCACGCAGTGTTGTAGATTTACACCCAGTTTGTCATGTGCTAACTCTTCATGTGAACAAACCCTTATTTTCTGTAACTATAGTCTTATATATGCTTTGAATTAAATAATAGAAACGATAAGCTTAGTGTTCTGCAGACCAGCAGAGAAGTTAGAAAAATATTCTGCTGAACATAATTCTTTAGGTTTTTTTTAATTATAAATCCATTGTGACAGAGAGAATAATTTCCTGCTATTTTCTAGACAGACCTTATTGAATTAAGTTAAACCTTTCTGAATTAAATTTAAGAAACTTAGCAGTTCATTGCATTAAGAATGCAAATGTTTATGTAGCGCTGTGGAACAGTATGTAACTTCTTTAACAGGGACACAGGACTCATGTAAACCTAGGAGGCGGTATGAGCTTCAACAGGCCAAACAGGATGGAACTTTTAGTTGAGTGAGTTTACTAGGAGATACATGGCAGGAGGGGAATGTAAATTATCCAACCCAGGAATCATCCTTTTGAAACATCCTGTACCTTGAGGGTAGCTGCACCTGTAATGCCCTCTTATGGTCCATCAAGGACACAAACTGTAGATACCCACCTCATTGGTCCTCACTTCTCTTGGGCTGAGACCAACATCCCTCTTCTTCCTGTCCAAGCTGTTAAGGCTGATCTGCCGATTCCTGATTTACACTGATATCCTAAGCAAGCCCAACTGTCTAAAAGGTCAGCAATTGCAATTTGCTTTCAACCCAGAGTCTCTGGCAAGTTTATTGCCAATAATTAATGTAACTCTTTCTAAACAAGCACCTTTATTCTTAAGGTGAAGGAATTAGAGAAATCACAACAAAACAACAAAAGACTCTAAAAGAGATGTCACCCGTCCACTCCAAACTAGAGATCTGGTAAATGTCAGTGCTTCAAAATCTGCAACTGGTTATAATTTCCTAAGTGTTATAATTGGTTACATTGTTACAATTTCATAACTGTTTCAGATTCAGAACCTGAACCTAGACAGGACAGATCAGCTAGTTTTTTTTTTATATAGGGCAGGCCTTTCAGCCCCCATCTTCAGTAATAGGAAATCAAATAATGATGCTCCCTTCAAGACGTAGCTTTAGAATTCTGGGAGAGTTATTTTGTATAACTACAGGTGGGGAGTTTACATTAAGAATAGGCATTTCCCCAGGAAATCCAGGTCGAACTGATTTGTTCCAAAAATCCATTCTTGTCTGGCACATTTTCAGGATAATCATTTGAATTCTCCCCTCACTCACATCTTTCCCCTAGAAAGAGTATGCACAATGCTAAACCACAATATTTTGCACTTTATACAGTGGACTTAAGGAAACAAACTTAATTCAGTAAGATATTTTCTCCCCAACTTATTTCAGGGAATTCCCATATTTGTCTCTCACTATTTTTCCATTGAACCAGCATTCAAATGACTGTGAGCAATTATTGAAGAGTTAGTGCTGCTGCAGAAACTCCACCACATTGAACCATGTAGTTAAAATGCTCTTGGAGTAGAATGCATCTTTTTGGCTTTGTGGAGTAAGGTCTTAATACAGCAAAGTCCTGAAGCACGTATGTATCTTTAGTCATAGGAGTAGCCCCATTGACTTGCATTGGAGAACTCCCATGCTTCAAGTTTCACACATGCTTAAGCGCTTCATTGGAATGGCTTCAGGGTCATGTACATCACTGCAAAAATACCGAGTTACAGATATCGTTCGAACATAATTATTCTGCTCAGCCCTGTATAAGGCCACTTTCTACTAGCCCCCTTCCGCTGAGCAATCTCTCACTCCTTCAGTAGTTCCAATGATTTCCCCTAAACAGCTATCTGTAGTAATGTCATGAAAAGCAGTATGATGCACACTAGGGCTGATGAAAAATTTTCTGTCAAATTGATTTTTGATGAAAACATTTTTTTTTTCAGGAAATATAAATCATCATAGAAAGTATTTACTTTTGGCAGAAAATGTGAAGTTTTCCTCAAAAAAACCTCCAAAACAATCAAACCAATACATTTATAGCTGAAGATGGAAACATTTCAGTTGTTTGCATTTTTCATAAGAAGTTAAAATTTTGGCTTGGGTAGGAAAGGAGAGGGAATTCCCACCAGTTCTAATATGTGCTACCATATCTGTAGAGTTGCCTGATATATATTTATTTTTATATCCATTTATATTGGCCCTAAATAATAACAACAGTCTTAGGCCCTTTGACAATCCCAAACTTTAAAAACACAGAAAAAAACAACAAATGGTCTGGTAGTACTTTATAGACTAAAGTGCTACCAGACCATTTGTTGTTTTTTTCTGTAACAGACTAACTTGGCTACCCCCTGAAGTGCTTTAAAAACACAGTGGTGTTCATTTGACAAATGAAGAAACTGGTATAGAAGCCCAGTGTTCTGGTACCTAAGTTAGCGTTACTGAATACTTACTATCCCATGAAGAAATGAGGCATTGCTGTTAAAATGCTTCCAGCTGACATAATAAAACATCCCAAAGCAATTATTTTTGGTCTATGAGATTTGGCTCCAAAATAACTTACAAAAGCCACCACCAACAAATTACCTAAAAAAGCAAAGAAAACATTACTAGTAGATGCTGTTCATTGTATTTGCCCTGAATAATTCACTGTATGTTATTGAATACCAATTACCTATCTCAAAACTTCCATCAATTAAGCCAGCTACAGAGGAGGGAATATCAAATCTTCTTTCTATCTGAGTGATGGAACTTTTCATAATTGTTCCAGATAATGTTTTGCACAAGTAACTGAATGACAAAGCAGCAAGAAACATCTGAGGAAAGATCAAGACAGAAGGTGGTAAGTAAGGGACGACAAACTATAATATCGAGATCAAGAGAGTTTAATCTATTTAGAACGATCTGCACCAATTAAACCTTAATTTCATTAATCTTACTCATCAAACTCCAATAGGGAATATGGGATTTTTCTAGTACAATGTAAGGCCTTGATTCAGACAGAAGTGCTACTTGGGGTTTCAGTAATGTTTTCTTACCATTCCAGTCACATTGTTGAAGTGGGAAATAGGTAGAGATTGTGAACTACAGAAATTACATACATGGGACATCCCAAACTAACTTCATACTTAAGGGTGGCATTGCTAACTTCAGTATTCAGAAAGCTTGGCCTCCTTTCTTTTGCTGATCCAAAGCTCCCCAGAATAGAATTTGTGCTTCTGAGCCTAAATGCTAAGGACTACAGAATATGCAGATGGCAATAAGCTCATCAGGGTACTGCTTACCCTACCGAAGCCTACTATCAGTTTTCCAGCTAGCACTAACCCTGAGATCAATTGGGTGCAGAAGCAACCTCACATCCTCTAAGTGTTACTAGAATACAAATAATTAACAAAAATAGAAGCTCTGGTCAGGGGTCATTGCTGAAATTATAATTATTGCAAATGGTAATTGAGTCTCAGCATCAATTAGTTGTAACTTTTTCTAAGTCAATTTGTCCATCCCCAGGTTAGAAGTAGTGTCACAGCATTACAACACAGGACTTAGCCACAAGCTTCACAATATCCCTCTTTTTGGAGGTCTTGTACAGATTCTTGGGCCATCTCATCCCTATTTGGATATAGTTTGAAGTATTTGGATTATATTTCTGTTGTACCTCTTTGCAAAGGAAATGTTCACATTTGACTTTTTATGGGCTTAAAACAAGAACATTTGAGTACACATTTTACTTTGGTGCACAAACTCCTAAGTATCGGCTCGGTTGCAAATAAAACCATGCTTAAGATGACAAGACAGCCTAGGAGTGCTTAAATATTATCCAAGTATTTCAACATTACAGCTTTTTACTGAATCCCAAACAAATAAACCTGGTGCCCTTCGGGTAAAAGTTAAAATAGCTTGTTTAACCTGATGGTAGATAAGTGAACAAATTAAAATGGGATTTGAACTTTATAATGCTATTTACTGTAACTGATGATAAGTAAAGCCAATCCTAAGAGAATGTTTTTTAAAAAGAGTTGAATGCTATGTTTTGCCAAACTGGTTTTGCCTAAAAACAACTTCCTCTTTATATATACTGCTAACTTCTGTAACTTCCACTCCACTTCATCTGATGAAGTGTGCTTTACCCATGAAAGCTTGACTTAATAGTTTTTGTCTAGAAATTTTACTGAAAAAAATCGAATGAAAGAATTTTCATATTTACCATGCCCCAAATTTTTCTTTTATTGGCACTAGTTCAGTAGTTTTTCATCTAGTACAAATTAAAGCCAAGAAGTGCAAACAAGCACAGAAGCATGAACAAAAAATAGTTAGCTGAACTGTTTTAAACCTCATCACACAAGCAAGAAGTTAGCTGAACTGTTCTTAACCTTTCCTCCCCCCACCCACAACTGACTTCAAAGTCTGACAGAAAGATAAGGGGATTCTCATTGTAACTGAAAATTTGTGCCCAACTGTAACATTAGAGGTGTTGTGTTTATTAAATTCTAATTGCTATAATACTCTGTGCTATGCTCTCCACTGGAATAAGTGGGACAAATTCACTGATTTCTGTGGAGCTGTGCCTAGTTATGCCAGTAGTGATGTTGATCTCAGTATTTGAGAGTTTTCAGACCAGGTCAATTACTACAGGAAATATACAGGGGTGAAAAAATTGGTTCAGCTCAAATAAGAAATATTCTAACCTTTGCCCAAAATGCACCATTATACTGCAAGAAATTCTGACCTTATGGTACTTCCAGCTCTATCAGAAGCAGTAAATACTATGTCTCTAACAAGAAAGCAAAATTCTCATTAGTTTTCTAGTCCTATTTGGCCAGGACATTTAATAATTTAAGTGTAACAGCATGGTCTAGCAGACAGCACATCAGACTAGGCCTCAGCAGGCCTGGGTTCTATTTCTGGTTATGCCATTCTTCTGAGTGACCTTGGGCAAGTCACTTCACCTTCCCGTGCCTCACTTTTTCCACTGTAAATTGAGAATAAGGATAATTACTTCCTTTGTAAAATGCGTTGAGTGTGTGGTGGTGGTGGTGGTGTTTTATTTTTTTTTTTTTAAGTTTTGCCTATCAGGACAGGGACTCAATAAACCCAGTTCAATACCTGACTCTGCCATTTCTCTACTGGATGACCAAGAGCATATTACATCTCTCCCTGTGTTTCAATTTCCACCTCCGTAAAATGGGAATAAAGATGCTAACCTCCATCATGGAGCACACCGAGATTTACTGATGATAAATTCTACAAAAGACCTAAATATGATTTCTTTATTTATTATTGTCTTGTATATATTTTAAAATAAACTTCTAGTATTCTTTGTTAATTGGATGACAAAATTAGAGGGGACAAGAACCATGCCTGCTTATGTACTTTGAAGAACACCACACATATCACCAATGGTTAACAAATAATAATTGAAAGTAATCTACTGAACCTTCAGTCCAGTGCAACAGGAAGTTCTCTTTTTGACTGGTACTTGTTTGATTGCTCCATGTTCCAAAGGCTGGGTAGATTCCATTTCCAGATTTGAGTTAACATTTGAATCAGTTTCCACTGTCATGGTGTCTTATCTTGAATTGATTATCTGTTTTGTATAAGAAAACATGAGAAAATTAAAATACATTCAGGGCTTCTTCCACAGAAATATTGAATTGGAAATCTGTAATTAACGTTCATGTAAAAAGTTACATTACCATGGCTAATATTTTCACAAGTGGTCACTAATTGTTTCCAAATAGAGATAGCTCGCACCTAATTTTTAGATGTACTGAAAATCTGCATTTGCCACTAAAGCTGATACTCTGAAGATGATATCCCTGTAGATTGATTCTTCAGGTCCTCAGTAACACTAAAATTCTGGCACGCAGTGAGCAATCAACATTAGTGACTGCTTACAAAAATGTGACTGCACATTTAAAGAACTAAATGAAGGATGCGAGCTGGGAGACTGAATGAATATCACAAAATAAAGAACATAGCAAGTTAGGTTTTATTTACGTCCTGGGCCTCAAAAATGATCACTGTGAAAGTGGAGGAGGAGATGTAAATAGGAAAACAAAGAGATGGGGAGGATAAAAACAACAAAGGAATAAGTGAGAGCTTTGTAAATAAGAACCAGAGCAGTGCTCTCACAAGAGAAAAGCAACTTGATTATATATAACAAAAAGTACTGGGAGCACTGACAATTAAATCCATATAGGGAAAAGAAAACTTAGAATAAGAGTGTTTTAAGGAGGCCTTTTGAAACTCATGGCAAAAGTGAAAGCCATCAGACTAGAAGCAGTTTTTAAGTGTCTGGCTACCTGTTACTTTAGCCAGAAAAGGACTAATCATGGCAAACACTCAACAATTGGCATGTTTTCGGAAACATTGTATCTGATAAAAGAGAAAGTGACTATGGATTTCACGTAAGGTCAAAGACAGATAGGTTCTTGGAATTCTGAGATATCTGTCCACAATGCAGCACAAGACTTGGTATATTCTTTGCTGGAATGTAAATAACCAAGATTGCAAAAGTCCAGGAACAACATGCAGTGGGCCTGATCCGGTCTTCCTTGTATACCAAAAATAGCCAACTCCAGAGTTCACATTAATTTGGGAAGGGGACTTACTCCATCTATTTCATGTCATAGAATAATAAGGAACCACATTAAAAAAATCAGTTGCTTACTAAAGGAAATATTCCTTCATAGAAGGTATAACAATGCTTCCCAGGACAACCAGGACAGAATCATATTGTTACCACCTCCCTCTAGAGTAATGACACCTGGACATTAGCTCCCTAACACAGCCAGCTTGTCACTCATCGTATGCTCTCCTCTGGGCTACACCAGTGCAGTCGTTGTCTTGCATGTTAACAGCAGATTAACCCCAGCCCTCCAAGGCCCTTCAAAGTGTCCTCCTGTGGTAGACAGCTCCTGATCACTGGATACCCACAGAAATCTCAAACCCTCTGTTCCCAAAGGAACAGTTTAGCAGGTTTGCTTTAGACCCCTCCCCACTGCTCCTGTAATGCTCACAGCACTTGACTTCAGTGATTAAAACAAAGGGAAATTTATTTTGAAGAAATAGAGATTCAAATAAAAACCAGCAAAAAAGATGGAAACAAATGGTGACATATAAATCACCACCCTTACATATATTCTCAAGCCCAAACCTAATTAACAAGTTATCTTCCTTTCTAAAGAACTTTCTCTCACCAAAATTCTCTCCAGCATTTTCAACCAAACCTGTCAGATCCCCTTTTCACTAAGCAAACTCATTGTCAACTTACTTTCTAGGCAAAGGGTATCAGGGTGCTTCTTGTACCTTCGTAGATACCAAAACAGACTTTTGAAATTTTCCTCAAGGTAGTCCCCTATGTTTACTACCTCCTCTCAGTCTTCTCCTTACATCTTCTCCAGCTCTTGACTTAAGAATGCCAATAGACTTCTATTGTATGATGTATAATACACGCATATTGCCACTTCCTGCTCTTGGAGAGAAGTGTCTTCCAAGGTCTTTCTTGAGAGGATTAAATTAATGGAGATTGCCTGTCTCCTAGAACTGGAAGGGACCTTGAAAGGTTATTAAATTGAGTCCAGTCCCCTGCCCTCACAGCAGGACCAAGTACCATCCCTGACAAATTTTTTCCCCAGATGGCCTCCACAAGGATTGAACTCACAACCCTGGGTTTATGAGGCCAATGCTCAAACCACTGAGCTATCCCTCCCCCCAGATGTCTCAAGATAGTCTACTTTTGAGTGAGCTGTTTTTAACGACAGACTTAGAGAATCATTTCTAGTGTGGATACATAAGTCCTCACTTATTCTTCCTAAATGCATCTCATAATGGTTATGCTGACTTGTCTGACACAGGTTTTCATTAGAGACCTTATGTGACATTCTTTTGGTGGATCCTAGGGATCCCTCTGTCCCTATATAGTCCTCTGCCAACTGGCACCCAGAGCTTCTTGGGTCATTAGTGGTTCAGAATTGTCGCTGGGACTAAAACGCAGGAGTAGAAATTTCTATCCCCAGTGTACAGTCTGAGTAACTAGAATTTGAGCTGGGAAATTCTGTTGTGACTGGGAGGAAAGAATCTATCTTCCAAGCCTCTTGGCTTTAGCAATCACTACAGCAACTGTGCACATGCGTGCACACCCACACACCTCATTTACAGAGGAATGGCCAGCAGATCTAAGAGGTCAAGGACCTGCTTGGCAATTCATATGATCTTCCCCTCGCCCAGCTATCTCCAAAGCCCCATTCTGTGCTGATGTGCAGGAAATCCTTAAAAACAGCATTCTGCAGACATGTTCTTACTCCTTCCACTACCTGTTCATAGAATCATGTGGATCACTGAACACACTGCAGCTTTGGAGGAGAGGGCAAGATTTCCCCCCGTCCCGATAGAATTGCTTATTGTTGATTCAAGATGACTTAGGTGGATTAGGTTGCATTTGTTTTTATTGAGATACAGTGCACACATTCCATTTTGTGTTCTCTGTAGTATTGTATGTTTCAGAGCCAGGTGAATAACAACAACTCTTATGAGACTATTGTATCCCAGAAAAATTAGTGAGAGTCATATGTAGTTGCAAATCATAAACCTTATTTAAGGAAAGAAAACATGTGCTAGCATATACTACTCCAAATACGATATAGAACAAGAACCTGACCTGTAATTGGGTCCACTAAAGAACTCCTGTGTACAGTCACCGAATTCCATGAACTAGTGAATCCATTAAGACAAACAAGTTCAGAAGAGCTTTTTTTTTTAATAGAGAAAGGAGTCTGAAGTATTAGAACTAACTGTTCCAAGACAAATCGCAAAAATAAACAAATAAATAAAACATACAGTGCCAAAATCAATTTGCCTCACCTTTCCTGGTACCCTTGAGAGTTGAGGATGAAAGCAAAAAAAAAAGTGTAGTGGTAAACAATTCCAACAGTGCAGCTGGAACAGATTTGTAAAAGTTGGCTAAACCTTCCCTCCTTTGGGGGAAATCCAATAGCATTTGCAAGTATCTCTGCCCTGTGTCATAGCCCAAAGGACTCTGTATAAAGTTTTCAAAAATGACTATTGGTTTGATAAGTCTTCCATTCATGCCAATGAAAAAACTCCCACTCCTTTGAAAGGTTTAGCATCAAGCATGAAGGCTTTTCTACACTTAAAATTTTGCTGTGGTGCAGGTGCACCACTGCAGCTGCTGTAGCAGCTTCAGTGAATCCACTACCTAGTCCAATGGGAGGAAGAGGAAAGGCTGCTGGGAAGATTTTTAGGAGCAATGGAGATATCTGGCTTATTGTAGCTGAACATGTCAGTGATGGTATCCTCAAGAGCCCATGATGCTCTGAAGAATTTTGAGAAAAACCACAGTAAGGAAGCCAGGGTAGCTACTTTTGGCCAAGAATAGATAACACCTCTGCTGCTGGTGCTACAGAAGGTGCTCCAGTGATGTTCTCACTGTTTTTCACAGATCTGTGTCTATAGATTCAGTACCCATTGCATCTGTGTGGGGACCTGACAGACAGCAGGTGTCATTTGTGACCATAAAGTAAGAAAATGTAAAGAGCTTATTCTTGTGTTCAACAAGTGCATCTAGAGGAGGAGTTCTCAGTGTACAGTGTAAGATCCTGGGTCTAACCCATAGGGGCTATTCACTACAGTTCAAGTTGAGAGCTTTCACCTCATCACATTAGATACTCAGCACCTGGCAAGTCATATCCACAGGATGAAATTCACCATGGAACAGAGGGCCAGCCCAAAGCTTCTGAATCACATAAGCCATACTTTGAGGACCTAGACATAAGTGGGAAACCATATGTGACCTCTCTGCATGGGATTTGAATTACATGTAATACTACAAAACCATTCAGAAATTCTGAGGGGTAGCTGTGTTCATCTGTCACAGTAAAACATGAGCAGTCCTGTGGCACCTTAGAGACTAACATTTACTAGGTGGCGAGCTTCCGACTTGAAGATGCCATAGGACTGCTCATTGTTTATTCAGAAATTCAGTTTGACTTCCCATTTCTGTTTACATTAAATCAGAATGGATAAGAAAAGCATCAAACATTTTATCCTGATAACATGTAATTAGTTTACGAAGATCAAGATACTACAGTAGTTACAAATTAACAGGAAGAAAAAATACCAAAATGTCAAAAGAAAACTTACAGTTCCAAACAACAAAACCTTATATACTCTGTTTTGGCTAACTTTTCTATTTGAATCTTTTTTAAAAGGCAGTACCAGCATGCAACAAACTACCATATGAAATGCAATGAGCCAGGGACTGTCGAGAACTTAAAGAAACTATATCAAGTTACCCCTGCTGAGGAGCTAAACTAATATTCTTATCAATTTCTGAATACATTATAACAAATGAAAAAAAATCCTTTTTAAAGTCACAACTTCCAAAAATATGCAGAAATAAGCAATAAAAATATTATTGCAAGTATTATACAGCAGGTACTTGCTTTACTCATGAAATATCTAGTGATAGCTGTATCTTCTATATATCAATACTTATATAAAGGACTTTTTAATTCCAGTAGTATACTCTCTCCCAAATTTTATTTATTTATATATATATATATATAAACTAGAAAAGTATCTTCATATCAAGTATGCCTACATACAGTGGTCATCTCTAAATTGTAAATTTTTTACTGTGTGAAGGTGATTGGCCTTCATAGGTGCAATGTAGCATTAGATATACCACCAATGCCATGGTAATACTAATTAGCTTCAACCAGTATATGCCAATAGTTGAATGGCTAACATTGTATTTACTCAAAGGGTATTTTGCACAGATTCACCTTACATGGCTAATCTGAAATTCAAATGAAAGTATAAGTAATATTTAAAAAGTGCCTACCTAGATTATGTATCCAACACAGCAGCAGCTATCCCATCACTCAAACTGTTGAAAAGAACTGGATCCTCTCCTTAAAACGGTTCTGATCTTTATCAGACTACTCATTAACTTTCCAGCATGATCATTTTACTAGGCAAATAGAAACTACAGTTTAGATACATTGCTTTAATCCTCCGTCTCTGACCAGTTCCATCCTCTTTCTCTATGCCCCAAATACCTGCATACTACAAGATTAAAATATCATATGGGTAGAATAGTTTCAGAATGGCATGCTGCATTTGTAACTGTTTTGTGAAGCTCCCATTTTCCTGAGACAGAGGAGTTCTGCTCTTGGCTTTACATAATAGATGACCCAATCTTAATACTATAAAAAGGAAAAAGCAAAGGCGGCAAACATTTGAATTTATTTTCAAAGACTAAGATTCTGAATGTTACTTCTTTCTGGCGCACTCTGATATCATAGAATGTGTTTTTTTGGTTATTTTATTTAACTGACTTTCTAGATCTAGATAGATTTATTTTCCTGATTCATGTTGATATCAGGTCCTCGGGGTCCTATTATCTCCAGTCAAGGAATATAAGAGGGTAAAATTTACATTGCTAGGTACAAGGACAAAAAACCAATACTCACGTGAAGAGTATTAGAGGGAAAGCTGTGCAAAAACAGAGAGAAGTTCTGTAGCACATTAAAAACTAACAAGATGTATTTGGGTATAAGCTTCCATGGGTAAAACATCACTTTGTCAGATGCATCTGATGAAGTGGGGTTTTGCCCATGTAAGCTTTTGCCCAAATAAATCTGAGTTGTATTTCCCTAGTTTATTGATAAAAAGGCCATGCAAGACTGTATCAAATGCTTTACTAAAGTTTAGGTGTACCACATCCACCAGTTCTCCCTTATCCACAAGGCTTGATATCCTATCAAAGAAAGCTATCAGATTGTTTTGACATGATTTGTTTTTTACAAATCCATGCTGGCTGTCCCCTGTCACCTTGTTTTCTTCCAGATGTTTGCAGATGAATTCCTTAATTATCTGCTCCATTATCTTTCCTGGCATGGAAATCAAACTGACTGGTCTGTAGTTTCCTGGGTTATTCTTATTTCCCTTATAGAAGAGCACTCTATTTGCCCTTTTCCAGTTTCTGGAATCTCTCCCAACTTCCATGATTTTTCAAAGATGATAGCTAAGGCTCAGATATCTTCTCTATCAGCTCATTGAGTATTCTAGGATGCATTTCTTCAGGCCCTGGTGACTTGCAGACATCTAACTTTCTTAAGTAATTTTTAACGTTCTTTTTTTATTTTAACTTCTAAACCTGCCCCATTTCCACTAGCATTCACTATGTGAGGCATCACCATCAATCTTCTTGACAAACTGAAACAAAGAAGTCATCAAGCACCTCTGCCATTTCCAAGTTTCCTGTTATTGTTTTTCCCTCTTCATTGAGCAATGGGCCTACCCTGTCCTTGGTCTTCCTCTTGCTTCTCATATATTTGCAGAAAGTCTTCTTGTTACCTTTTATGTCTCTAGCAAGACTGAGTTCATTTTGTGCCTTTGCCTTTCTAATCTTGACCCTGCATACTTGCGTTGTTTGCTTGTATTCATCCTTTGTAATTTGATTAGTTTCCACTTTTTATACAACTCCTTTTTGATATTTAGATCATGTAAGATCTCCTGGTTAAGCCAAGGTGGTCTCTTACCATACTTCCTATTTTTCCTGTGCAGTGGTATAGTTTGCTTTTGGGCCCTTAATAAGGTCCATATGAAAAACTGCCAACTCTCTTCAGTTGTTTTTCCTCTTATAAGGCTACGTCTTGACTGCATCATTTTTGCGGAAGAGGAAATGCAAATGAAACACTCATTAGCATTTCTTGTGGTCTCATTTGCATAGTCTCATCCGATCCTTTTTGCGGAAGAGGTTTTTGCAGAAAAAAACGCAGTGTAGATGGGGCCATTTTTCGCAAAAAAAACAAAAACAAAAAACACCCTTTTGCGCAAGATCCTGTAAAACATAGCCTTAGTGTTGCTTCCCATAGACTCTTACCTTCCAGCTCTCTGAGTTTATTAAAATTTGCCTTCCTGAAATCCATTGTCTATTTTGCTGTTCTCCCTTCTACTGTTCCTTAGAATCATGAACACTTTCATCCAAGCTGCCTTCCACTTTCAATTTTTTAACCAGTTCCTCCCTCTTTATTAAAATCAAATCTAGACCAGCTTCCCCACCAGTAGCTCTCAACCTTCTGAAATAAAAAATGGTCTCCACTGCAGTCCAAGAATGTATAGGATAATCTGTGCCCTGCTGTGTTAGTTTCCCAATATATGTCTGGATAGTTGAAGTCCCCCATCACCAGCAAATCCTGTGCTTTGGATGATTTTGTTGAAAAAAAGAATCATCCACCTCTTCTGCCTGGCTATGTCTAGACTGCATCCCTTTTCCGTAAAAAGGATGCAAATTAGACACATCACAATTGCAAATGAAGCGAGGATTTAAATCCCCCCCGCTTCATTTGCATAAACACAGCTGCCGCTTTTTTCCAGCTCGGAGCTTTGCCAGAAAAAAGCGCCAGTCTAGACTTGGATCTTTTGGAAAATAAAGACTTTTCCGAAAGATCCCTTATTCCTCTTAAAATAAGCGCGTGCTGTGGGGAGGGGACACGAGGGGAGAGGGAAAGGAGATGGAGTTCAGTCAGTGGGGGGAGGTGGAAGAGGGGAGTGGACTGGGGCTGGTGTGTGGGGGGGATTGAGTTTTGCTGTGGGGGGAGAGAGGGTGCAGGGTGGATTAGGTGGGGAAGAGAAGTGGGGGGAGGGCACTGGGTTAGGAGATCATTTTGAGCTTTGGATTCCTCTCTCAACACTGGTGAGACTGTAGCCACAAATAAAGTTGCACCATTTTGATTGTAATATTTACTCTTTATTAAAAAAGCAATATTGGGAGTGTTTCATGCTGAAGTGAAACAAAGTTCAGTGCAGCTGTGGGGGAAGAGAAGGTGGAAACTGGGTTCGGTGAGTGAGTGGCCTGGGGGAGGGTCGGAATGTGTATGGATGGGGATGTGTGTGGAGGGGAGACAGGACATAGGCTGGGTTTGGCCAGAGGGCGTGGTGGGAGTCAAAGAGCCACAAGGTAAAAGGGGAGCTTTCCTCCTCAGTGCTTATCCTTCAGCAGCAGGCCAAAGAAGGGGGGAGTGGCCAAAATTTTTTTGCTTGGGGCAGCAAAAAACCTAGAGCGGGTCCTGCCTACACACATGCAAAGGGTCCTCATTCATGAGTTTGGTGGAGATACAGTTTCATTGTCTTTTCCAAGGGGTGGTCCTTCTCCACATGTTGATGCTGATGTTCACATCTGGGCATGAGGGATCAACCTTCCAGTTTCTGCATGTTTTCTATAAAGCAGCTGGCTCTCTTAAGCAGTCTAGAAGATTTGATACCTCTTTACATCTGGTAGAGGAAAGAGTTTCTCCTGGTGTGAACAGAAAGGCAATCTAGAGGAACCAATTGGAATATTTTTCTCTGTGTTAGATTTTTGTTTCTCTGAGTCTAGGTCTCAATCTATGTAGCTTTTTCCGATTGCTTTTCTGGAAAAGGCTTTTCCGCCATTTGGCCCTGTCTAGAGGAAAAGCCTCTTCTTTTGGAGGAGCCCTTATTCCTTGCAGAACAACGTATACAGGGCTCCTCAAAAGAGCGTATTTGCTCTTCCGCAAAAAAAAGCGAAAGAGCAAATGCTTTCCCTGGATGTGGCGGAGTTTTTCCACAGATACCTCTGGTATCCTGGAAAAACCCACCAGTCTAGATGTACTCTGAGAAGGAGAAAGAGTAAGGGATGTTAAATGGTTAACTGGTAAGCATACTGTTAAGCATGAAGCTGACTGGTGTGTTTACTGGTTAACCAGCCCTTGCTGGCAAACACCGGTGGTGGCCAACTGCACTGGCTCCAATGACTGTCAGAGTGGCCAATCTATCTTGATGTAGTGGGAATCTCTTGCACGACTATCCCATTCGCAGAGAAAACAGCAGTACTTTGTGTATCCAGTCTGCAGATCAAGCAAGAGAGCAACAACCTTAAAATCGCCACAAAGCTGCCACTGATGTTGGTCATAGTTTATGCACCTCAAAAGTTGTTTCATGTTGTCATAAGTTTCCTTCATATGGACTGCATGACCAACTGGAATTGATGGCAAAACATTGTGATTATGCAGCAAAACATCCATGACTTCTAGGAATAACATGATGCAATTCATATCATGTATGACGCAATACCAGCTTCAGATTGCATCATTCATTGTTTTGCCTGAAAAGCAAGTACTGTTCAAACCCAGTCATAGATTTATTCATAGATCCAGTCAAAGATGGTTTAAATTGAGATCCCTTCCCTTTATAACTCACTTATCCGCCATTCGCAAGTCAAGGGTCGTATATACTGACCCAAAAGCATATCTTGAAAACTAGAGCCAATCAACCATTTTAAGCATAATTTTCGTTCTCAGTGGCCCAGAATTAGTAAAGTTTGACTACATTTATTTCAGAAGCATTTTGGCTGTAGAGCAGTGTTATTAATAAAAAAGGGAAAGGAAAAGTGCTATGTTATAATCAAATATTATGTGTTTCCCACCCTTGAAAGAAAATATGACTTGGTCTTTCACCTCACCCCAATCCTCCTACAAAATTAGACTTTACATAGGTGAAGGGAAGTGATTGGCATCTGATAAGATCACCATCATCTTAAAACTGCGATTGTAGCAATGGCTGATTATACCAGCAGCATGAGCTAAAGCCACACTAAAAGTCACCTTTAAAGCATGTTTAAAAGTTTCAGAGGGATAGCCGTGTTAGTCTGTAACTTTAGAAACAATAACAAGGTGCTACAGGACTACTCGTTACCTTTATAGCAGTAGCTTTTTGCAAAATCCTCCAACCAGAAGGTGGCAGCAGACTCCTACCAGTAGAAGTAGCTACCCATAGTTGTTGGTAACCAGTAGCTTAGCAATAGTCCTCTGCAGTCAGGCAATAAGAAAACACTGAACTAAGCAGATCTGTTTTGAAGCCATTTTTATTCTCCGGCCACTAATCCTTAAACAAAGTATCCATTGAGCCCAGAAAGTTAACTCATAC